CCCAGATTCACTTTGTTGGAAGGTTGGGTGACTTCTGTGTGAATAACTGACTGACTTGTTGCTAGGGAACAGTTGGGAGGCATGCTTTTGATCTCCCATATGCTTACTACTAATAAATAAACAAATAACAATAATTACAACAAACCCCAAGCCTGTTGTATCTCCAGGATTAATTAATGATGAAATACAGCTGAAATTCTTTAAAAGAAGGCAGCAAGGTGGGTTAGATTTCACATTTTCCTGCTGTGTATGGAAATGATGGTTGAAATTAACATTTTTTTTTTCCTCCTTAAAATTTACCTTAGCTGGATCAGGTTAGTGGGAGGAGTGGGGGAGTATTCCCTTCACAGACAGAGGATGATCAGGCAGACAGTAAATCTCCCCATGCCAGTTTTACTCACATCCAGTTTTTCCTGCCTAGTACAGTTAAGTTTTTTAGATACTTTACTTGCATTTCTAATTCAGTTATTCTTCTGAAATTTATTCAAAGGATTTATGCTTATGAAATTATAATATAATGCTGCCTATATGCCAATGAGCTGCAGGCAAAGAAAATAATTTTCTTCAATTTACAGTTATGAGGCTGGAAGAAAATGATGCCTTCTTATCACCTCTTTTTCTTTGTATGCCTCAGTATTTTTTTAAGTCTTCAGAAGGCAGGAGCTGATGATGAATTCTTAAGCAGATCACACTGATAATTGTATTTCAGAACTGTCAACTCTGTGAAGACTGTCCACGGAGGTGTCTCAGTTCACTTGAGCTATTTGTGTCACTGCTTCTCTAGGAACTCAGCCCTCAATAAAACCCAAATCACTGGGGATATTGTTAAGTCTTCTGAAAGGATTATTAGATCGAAGGAAAATTTATGGGTGACACTTTGTAACAATTAATCACGAACTGTTGATGAAGTTAAGTTGGTTCTTTATTCTTGAACAGAAAAAAAAAAAAATGCAGCCCCCGTACAAATTGTCAAATGGCCTATTTTGTCACTGTTTGATTAATGGACTATTTGGAGTCCCCAAAAAGTCCTAGTACAAATAAAAAAGAATCATAAATATTGAATAAGCTCACAGCATGGTTAACCTTGACTATATTTTGGAACATTCTTGGGGAAAACTTTGCTATTCAGAAAATAAATTGCTAAGGGGATTAAAAAAAAAAAACAAAAAACAAAAACCAAAAACCCAACACCCAAACTGGAGATTTTGGAGAATGTCACCTACCCAACCTTGTCATCCTGATTAGCCTGCCATGATAAATTAGCTTTAGTTAGCTTTGCAATCAGGTCAAAAACTGCTGGCACACTACCACATCTTGCAAGTGGGGCTACACCTGGTCCACAAAAGGCAAGGAAAATAGTCCTGCTTTTGGTGCTTTGTATGTCACACAATGCTGGGGCTGTTAACAAGCTATTATCCTTTTGTACTGTAATTTATGGAAATGGAGCCCAAGGAGTGCTGAGAGCATGGGAGTCATGATGCCATAAGGTTGCTTCTGAAAGGTTGGTCAAAAGATGTCCGGTGATCTGTGTATATGCAAATGATAAGACCCGAGTTTCAGCTGCAACCAACACACACACACATTCATACGTATTCAGGACACGCAGATTCCATCTTTTCCTCCTGCTCCTCTGTCTCTCTATTTGCAACTCCGGTGCCCTCCTCCCCCCAGACCTACCCCCCCATTGCTCGATGCAGCTGTTTAGTTCTGACAGGTCTGACCAGTCATTTTTGCTAACCTCTGATAGCATCTAGGTCAGAGTGATCCCAAACTGGCTTGCTTTTGTTCTCAGTGAACAAGAAATACAATGCTATTAGTTTAGGCTGGAGTTCCACAAAGCACTTAAATGCCATGTGCTTTACTCCAAGCATGCGAGCATTCCCCCTCCTCTTTGGCAGGGCACTTATGTGCCTGATTAAAGTTAGGCAGGTTTCAGGCATGTTTGGGCTGAATCAGGCCCTCACTCAGGAGAAATAATGCCACTTTACATTTCGTTCAGTTGGCCCCTTTTGCCAGTGCGTGTCATATGCCAGCTCACTAACCCATCTAAGCTGACATACATGCAATAATGTACTTCAAAGCAAAGATTATTCAGGCTCGGGAAGTGGGAGAGATTTTGAAATCTGTGCAACTATTTCCATTAGGAATGTAAGAGAGCCGTATGATAATAATTGCTCATTAGATTTTGTTGATTCTTTGAAAGTAACACAGGGATTCAAACAGGGCGATTGTTTTTCACCTCATCACATTTCATTCTGAGCTATAAATAATATTTTCAATCCATTTTTATTCCCACAGTTCTCCATGAGGTCCTCTGCCTCTCTCTGAAGAATAGCACTATGTGAACAGAGAGAGCCGGGCCAGAGATTGCACAAGCTGTGCTGGGTATCCATGCTGGGAAACGGAGCTTCTAGCTCCGACTGCTACCTGCTGCAAGCCACATCCATTTGGTCAGCAGTGGCCAAAGGGAAATGCTTTTCTTAGAAAGGTTTGCCTCAGGAAAATGGAGCCAGGAAAGGTGCAGAGATGGTTTGGTTCATTTGCACACTTGTACTTCAAATTACTCACACGACATGTGGGAAAGAGCAGGGAAAGACAAAGTTTTCAAGGCCTCTGAGTATTTCTTCAGGATGTAGGACTGAAAATCTTTTATAAAGTACTTTCATAATTATACAGTACTATGGCCTGTGGCTAAAAATCTAGTGGAAGTTACCAGCCCGAACTAGGCTGGGGTGAGGCAGGAGTTTTGGGGACAAGCTGGCAGAAAGCTTCTTCTGAAGGGTGCACAGGCAAGCCAGCAGGCAGCACTTCCCCCAGCCACTTGGCCCACGCCAAATCCCTGCGGCAAGCACCCTGCTGAAGACACCTGCTTGCTGTTTTCCCAGCAAGGTGCAAAGCCAAGGTCCTGAGAGGCAGTCATTCTTAAGGATGGGAATTTTCACAGGACCTGGGTGTTAATTCTGGTTGAATTCCAGCCCTGGTAATTGCACTCTTCCCGAAGGAATTCTTGCTGGTGATTCACCTGGGAAAGACACAGAGGTCCTTAATCCCTGTCCTGAGCCACTGAAGGCTGTCACAACACACTGCATAACTGGCTTCAGGGTGGGGCTCTTCCAGTCTCTTGCTGATGTGTTTTGCGTGGGATTTACAAACATGTACTAGGTCAGGGAGACTGAGCAAACCTGAATACTGTTTAGCTCAGTGGCTAGCATGGTCACGTGGGAGAGAGGAGATTTGTGCTCTGTTTCCTGAGCCAGATAAGTGTCTGGAGCATACCTAGAACCCAGAGCCTGCTCTGGAAGGTAAAGAATACCTTCTGCATCAAGTGCAAGTACTAAGAGTGAGTGGATCAAGATCCGGATACTCCTGGAGATGTCCAGATGCAAAGTTTTAGGTGCTTTCAGGCAGCAGGAGCAGAGTGGGAAACTGTGAGTCAAATTCTGTTCTAACAGGACTCTCAGGCTGCAGAGCAGTGCCTCGGCTCTTTGTGCAACAGAGATTCTAGAAAATAAGGTATTGCAGAGGACAGCATTATGGCTAGTGAGAAAGGAAGTGACTGAGGTGTAGTGATTATGATCACCAGTCAGGACTAAGCTGAGTTCTTGCTCCTACTACATTTAATATAATTTATAACAAGCAGAGCAGCTTCAAAAAGGGATTTCCCTATTCAAAAATAGTCCCCATATTTTTGTGGTTAAGCAGTTCTAAAAAGTGTGCATTTCTATTACCTTGGAAGAGCTGAATTTAATTCTCTGCGTTCAGCTCAGGTAGGTGTTCAGATCACCTCTCTTTTGGGGCTGGATTATTCATATCACGTGGACACCTACCAGACTGGGTCCCACACGGTAAATGGGAGGGATATCTCATATGCAAATGCCAGCACGGCATAAAGGTAAACTGGGAAAATAACACCTTTGCAGTACCCGATATTAGGTGTGTGTCCTGCAGAAAAGGGCACATGCCTGGAGAACCTTGTTCCTGGAGAACATTAGCGCTGTTGGAAGAAAGGCAGACACCTGCGGTCCTTAGGTGTCTCCTTGGTACTGTGGTGAGCGGAGGTTAGGAGGTGTCTGAATTGGTGGATTTTCATTAACTATCCAATCATGCTTGTGTAGCTATTGCAAGGAGTCTTTCAATGTGGGAACTCATAGGAAGGCTTTTCTTTGCAGCAATTCTGGAACACATAAAGATGCTTTGTTTTCTAAAAGAAAGTGTTCCTAGCATCTTTTGCAAAGCTGGCAAACAAATAAAATCCACTTCAGTCCATATTCTCTTCTTCTAACTCTTCCAAACATAAAACAGTCACTAAAATAAAATTCCTGTTATTAAACATGAGGTAGGCCTTTCCTTTGATGACTGTTTTTTCCCGAAAGAGAACTCAAATCCAGGAAACATGGGGGAAGATGCAGTCATTTGAAGGGTGCAGAATTCATCGTTATTGTTTGCCAGCAAAAGAACAACAGTGCATAGGAAAAAGCATATACTAAATAAAAACTAATTGCATTATAAAGAGCACCGGGCATCCTATAAAAACCTGTTGCTTAAATGTGTCTTTAACAATTTATCAGCGAATGATCTTTATGCAAGGGAGCCAAAGCAATTAGCTGGGGTTTGGCAGATCTCTGCACTCCTTTGACATACCCTGTAGTAAAACAGACCACTGGAAAAAAAAAAAAATCCTATATACCTAAAAATGCTGGACTTGAGGTTCAGATTTTTTACTAGGGTCTTCTCTGTGTTAATTTGCCATAATAAAGCATGTTACACACTATTCATTTTTGTACCTTCTCTTCTTTCACTACACCTACCCTTTTTGGTTACATGTGCCTAAACCAACTGCAGAAGTGCTTGAATCAGCTAGAACTGAATTAGCAAATCGGTTTCACCTCAAAGTGGACAGGTTTAGTCTCCAGATTAAGGTTGATTTTTATTTATTTGTATTTTTAAACTTCTCTAATTAACGGGTAACTACAAACCTAGCTATGATAATGAAGTAACAGGTCAACCAACACTGCCTGTATCTTTTTTGTGGTTTTTAATTTAACACACTGTTTTAATATATAACCCTTACACCACCAATGTAAACGGCAGAGTAAACAGCAGAGTAAATGGCAGGTATGTACTATTTTCCCTCTTAAGAGGTGCTGTAATTTTATACACTAAGATAACACCTGTGGATCAAGCAGTGTCTGAGTTTTGGATAGCTGCAGACTGCAAGTATTGTGAAGATGTGACTACAGATTTGCTTATACTTACCTTCTTTCCAAGAGGCCTAGGAAAAAATGTATGTATGTACATTATACTGGGTGTTTTGTGCTTTTACAGACTGGAGCTCTGTTACTCATAGGATGTGGAGTATAATGTTGAGTTTTGATTCTTCTGTAATTGCAGAGTAAGGAGAAAAGAATTGGGCTCTTGCTCTTCACAGATGGGAAGATGTGGTCTTTGATCTTAATGCTAGAACTAGTAATCAAATGTTGGTTTCCTGGCTTTTAATGTGTGAATGAGTTGAAAGATGCTCTCAAGTAGGCTAACAAGCCATGTGTAGTGGGTGAATAATGCTTCATGTAGCTCATTCTTGACACATTTATGATATAAAACAAATGTAGGAAGGTCTTTTGATCCGTGGGTTAAGGCTGCCTGTGTTTATGGAGACAAGACTGGAGTATTTGGGGGCTTTGAAAAGTATCCACATGCATGATTGTATGTTTGCCTTTACCCTATTTTTGCTTATTTTTGTGTTTGCTTGCTACAGTGCTTTCTGTTAGAATAATGTTAACTTTGTGTTAAGATTCACTTCATGTGAGCTTCATACTACATCTTTCCTGAGTGGAAATAGTGTGGTAAAATCTTGTTAGACCTGTAGTGTCTATACTTGGGCTTGGGAAATGACAGTGCAGCTCTTAATGGCCATGCAGCTACACAAAACCTGCTTATTTCCTCTTCATCAATGAATGGCACTGAGTGCTTAAGGAAGTCAGCAGTTAAATTTTGCTTGGAATGATATGTGAAGGAAGATCCTCCTTCTTGTCATTTTATTTATCATTAACAGCCATTATAATTTCTTCCCAGCAGCAATTACACTGACATCACCACATCTAAATCAGAAATGACACTGGAGTGGTTATATTATGTTGACTGGGCATCACCTAATTTTGAAGTGGCATTCTTGCCCCATCATTATGATTATATCCCTTTCTAATAAGTAATATAAGAAAATATCTACTTAATGGGAAAACATACATATTAATATATTCCATGACAAACATGCTAACTTTACATATTAATCTTGGTAAATAGAAGTCATGTTTACATTTTTCCTCTTTGGTACACTGTTCTCTTGACAGCTTGCTTTCCCTCTGGTTTTATTCTTTCCAATCCTAGTGTACATTCCACTGCCTCTGGTCACCCTGTTAGTCACAGAAGGAGAAAGCAGGTCACATCCGTCTGGTTAAAGAGGGGAAAAAAAAAAAAAAAGAAAAAAGAAAAAAAAAAACAATGTTACTGGGTAATGTAATATTGCTGCTCTCCTCATTGCATTCAGGTCTGCGTGAAGGCTCTTGGATATGTGCAATAAACATATGTGTGTGATAATGAGATTGTTGGTGGAAAGTCATCTTGAAAAGACAAGGAGCAATTAAGCTTGCTTACTTATACAAGTTAGAATGACAAGATGCCATTGCCGGCCCCACTCATCCATATAATAGGGTTCTCCTTCCCTGCTTAGCTGTATTGGGAGAAGCATTTCTTGTCAAACCTCTGCCATGACTCCACCATAAAACAATCTGCCTTCTTCCCTTTTATACACAGTTCATTCTCACACTCTCATCACTGTCCTGATTTCAACTGAGTGCCTGCTAGCAAGCACCTGAATCAGAATACTTTAAGAATTCAATGCAAAGCCTTCATTTAACTGAGTATTTATTTGTAAAGGTGTACTCTCTTGTCCAATTTTAATTAAATACTTAAAGATGTCAGTGGGGAGATGTGCAGGTTGCTCACAAATGTTTAATAATGCAATGTGTAGAGTCAACAAATAATGCACCTTCCTTTTGCTATCTTGAAGATTTAGATAGGATATCTTGGATGCTATTGACAAGGAGAGAAGTGTGGAACAATAGGAACATATGATAGTTAGTTTTAGATAACAGTAGCTATCCTTATGCATCTTGAATTGAATGATGAAGCCATCAATTAGAGAAATAGCCCTCTGAGTATATATCATTGACAAGATGAATACCAGTACATTGTATTTCTGGATGGAGATCTCGGTGATCTGTAATTCAGAAAGGCACTGAATAGTATATACAGTCACACTAATCCTATGATATTGAAAATCAGAAGCCTTTTGTCCTCTCCGTGTTTCTTTGTATTTTAGCTACTAGACTCTTTCAGATAATTAAAGTATTTGTACTTTATATTTATTACTTAAACAATGCTTCCTCACTTAGTATCAAGATGCCATTCTTCTCCACATTCAGCATATTTAGTGGACACTTTCAGGGTTTAAAAGAGCATGAGGAGTTCTTTCTAGTTGTTGTCTGGTCTCAATTAATTCATACATATAGGCATGGTGATCCATTCACAGCCTATGAACTCTGTTGGAGACCCTCTCCATACCAAGGAACAGAGAGGCATCCATGCCTTATGTGGCAGAGCCTCTATTTTTAACCTAGATTCTCCCATGTTCTCTTTAGAATGTCTAATAGTTTCTATCCCCTCTGCTTCTTCCAGATCTGGTGTTTTATTTGCTTTTTTTCCCCCTTTTTTTTAGCTTTCATAGTCATTAGTGTTATATTTATACCAGAGAAGCAACAGAAAGAAAAGCTAAAGAGATAGGAGTTGCACTATAATAAACAAGGAATTCTCAGCACTTGCAGTTTCCAGTTAGTTTTAGTTCTTTTACCTACATTTGAAAGTGAGTGAATATTCCATGGTCAGGGCCAAAATTTATTCTTGGATCTGTGCATAGGTAACAAATGTACTGCAGCAGAGTTACACAATGAGAATGGCTCTGTAGAAGAATAAAGAAATAATATGAGGAAAGACTGTAATTAATGCAGTGCTAGACTAACTATAAAGTACAGTTTAAGGAATGGGAATAAGCATTCACGACCATTATCTGTTTTATTATTTTTAGTGGAGGTTTTTTTTTAATATGGACTCTTTTGTGTGAAATCAACTTTATAATCTTTTCACAGGAACCTAAATGTTTAGGTCCTCTTCATGTTTGTTTGCTTGTATGCAGAAGGTCATTATATTTAAAACTGGATCCTACCATGGATGCCAGTGATTGTTGCAGTGAAGAAGAATTCCTAGAGCCTTAGGGGAAAAAATGGTCACCGCCTTTCCCAGAAATATTTGAAAGGACTAATGAAGTTTGGTTGATCTCAGTGGTATTGACAATGTATGGCCTGATGAGGGGAAGAAAAAAACCCAGGTCTTTCAGAAAAGCAGCAGGAAAAGGAAATTTCTGTAGCCTTCCCCCTGCTAAATCTAATCAAATGAAACCACCTACAGGCCAATAAGCTTCTTGAGTGCACTTTGCCCTGAAAACAGTGTTTTATTATCACCCAAAACATAAATAATGCAATAAAAGAAAATGTTTGAGGTCTCCTTAATGAGCTATTGTTAAGGCACCCTTCGCTCTTATCTCCTTTCATAGCCTGATGCAGAGAGCAGCATCCAGTGGTCGAGAGTGTATTTTGAGTGCTGCTAGGAAAGTACAAATGAGAAAACAGACTTAATTACACTGCTTACTGCATCTAGAGGTCCATGTGGTTTGACCGGCTGTGTTAGGACACCCTGTAATTTGGAGGAATCTCTGTGCACTGGCACCATAAATGTACTGCTATCCAAAGGATGGTTAATAATCTAAAGTTGGCTGTTAACATTGCTGGAGCTGGTGTCTATAATTTCAGCGAGTGACCTGAATGACTCTGCAATGAAAGACTGAAATGTCACTCTCCTCCTTTACTTTGTTTGCCTTGAGCAAAGACTGCTCCAGATTGTGTACATCCACCGAGGTCCAAATGATGAAAGGGCAGCACATAAGTGCAGATTCATGGCTCTGCTAAATCTCCCTGCTCTGGCAGAATACTAGGAAGCATGGGGAGGAGAGCATGGGAGAAAAATAGGACGGTCTCCTCCAGAGCAACTTCCACTGTGGCTATCTTTTCCCATCTCTGAGTGTATAAAGGCAAGGCTGGTTATAGGGACCTGGCTCTCCCATGCTCTGTAGCTGCCAGCCACCACTAAATCAGACCTGATGCCTGTGGCTAAAGGCAAAGCAAATGGTTTCCATTATCCAGGTATTTATTTTGCACCTGCTGCTGTGACATCTGTGTAATAACAGTTACGTACGACAAAAGGTAGGCTGACCTGACTTTGAGTATTTCATCATTTCTTCTCATTATGCTGAGTGAGCGAGTGAGCAGAGGACTCATATTCTTCTCGGGATGTGTTACAGACCATCCAGCTGAGACATCTGTGGAGTGGCAAGTGCAAAGAGCTTTACCTTTGCGGTCAGGAATCTTAAACCCTTGTTTCTGTTGTGTCTTGATACCACTCAGATGCAGTAAAGGAGTAAAATACTATCAGTAAATTTCAGAAAGTTCAGTATTTGCATTTCATTTGGAAACCTGTGACATTCTGGCATATTTTCACTGGAAGGCCAGGGCAATGCTGATTGAAGATCAGTGTCGGCATTAAAATATACAAGGTACGGAGAGCTGGTGTGCTTCAGAGCAAAGCCAGCCTGCCAGGCACAGAACCAGGGCAGCCCTGGGGCAGAGGGTAAGACTGAGTCTTAGGGTTGGGGGCTTTTTTTAAATACAGAGTTGAACAAAAAGCCTAATTCACCCACAGAGCTCTGAGACTGTATCTTCTTGGAGTAAGACAGGTTCTGAGTGCAAATAAGCATGTTTTCTTTAAAATCATTCAGACCTTCATTCATGTTGCCTGATGTACAAGTGTCAGAAGTGGGGGCTGTTCAACCTTTCCACTTACTGTGTGATAGATAGGAAAGTACTGGAAAAGTACCATTCTCTGTATTCCCTCTGATATAGTATGGCTAGCTGTCAAGGACCAAAAAACTTTTCCATCGTTTGGATAAGTGTGGATGTCAGCTGTACTCTGGCAAAATTATGCTGGAAAGTCCCAGTGAAATCTAAGCCTACATGACTGAGTTCATTCCCCTCCAGCCATCATGAAGGCACTATCAAAATTTTGTTTACTGAAAGATTTAAGAAGCACTACTGCCATTTATATATGACAGGTGAAGTCCTGACTATATTTCCAGAAGCGAAGAAATCATTGCCTTCACCTTTGCACCTTGCATTTGTCTAAATGTGACTTAATGTCAGAAAGGTGGAAGAATCTAGAAAGCAAGGACACTGGCATTAGTTCTCGCTGCAGTATGTTTGTGAAGTCTGCTGTTAGATTTAGGACTGTATCTGATTTACATTAAAAAAAAAAAAAAAAGAAGCCTGTTGCTACTTGTTAAACCCATCTAAGATGAAGAATAAACTTTGGCTTTCCTCCAGTCACCTGAACATACCATCACCACCAATGTCCTTTTTTGCCCCTGCTATATACAGTCTTTTCCTATACAGTGCGTTTTATCACAGCCTTCCATTCATCTTATGGGACTCTGGTTCATACCATGTGAACTGTTTTGTACTGCTACCATTTCAGCTTTGTGGAAAAGAAAGAATATTTGGCTCCTTCCTCTTTCCACCACGAGGTGTATTTGGTGATCGCTCACAAACAAGAAAAGAAGAAATGCAATAAAAGTAGCCTCATCACATTAAAGTGTAGCATTAACAGACAGAATGAAAGACACTGCAAATTAAATCACACAGGTGAAGAGAGTCCTTTGTGGGATGTTTTGTTTTTTTTTTCTCCCATCTCACTGGAAAAGATCTTGTATATTGAAAACAAAAAATGATGTCTGTTCCTGTCGTAAAATAGAAACCATATATATTTGCCATAAGTCTACTCAAATTTTGTTGCAGAGCCTATAGGCAAAACTCCATGTGCTTTGTTAGGTTTCAGCATGTTACGAGACAAGAATAACTGACCTCCCTCCTGCAAAGGGAGAGAAAAGCCTGAAACACTTCCAGCAGCCTCCTCCTCTATGATTAGTTCACCTTTTTTTTTTTTTTTTTTTTTTTTTTTAGGGAGGCAGAGAGAAAGGGGAAGAATAGCTATCAAATAAGTCAGGATTCTGGGAATGAAGAGGAGAGCTGTTTTTTAAACTAGGATGGACAATAACTTGTCCCTCACACTTGAATTCATTTAGAGAACAATAATACCTGAGGATTGGAGGGTTGCCTCTTTAGCAGTTTCTCTTGAGCAAGGCTTGCTTTGCCACCACCCGTCATCAGAGATTTAGAACTTCCAAAGCTGCTGCTGTTGCCACCACTGCTCTTTCAACATCAGCGACTTGCAAACACACTGAATTTCCCAAGACTTAGGGAGTTATCTGGAGGCCCTGGGAAATTTCACTATGATAGGAGGTGAGGCAGGTCTGTGTTAGAACTGCTTTTTCCAGCAGTATGAACACACACACACACAGAGAAGTAAGAGCCAGGCTGTCCTCAGAGATGGTTTTTACACTGTTTCAAGAGCGTTATTCTTGTTCCTCATTTACATTCCCAGGAGAGGAAACTGACTCGATATCACTCTCATTTGTAGGCACTTGTGATAGCAGATTGAGGTTTCCCAGCTCAGTAAGAAGTCAAATGATCCAATAACTGACTCTGCATCTCGATTACTGGGAATACAGGAGAAATAAGATACTTTCCACTTCCTTCTGGCTACTCTTGACACACCCTATTCAGGGAGGAAAGGTACATTACGCTGCTTGTATGCAGGGGTTATTCTGAAAGTAACACAACCTGAGGAGAACCCCTCATTTTAGGGCTTCAATGATGGATTACACACAGGTGTCAAGGGGCAAATAAGCCAGACATTTTCAGCAGTATCCTTGAATAACCTCATGAAATGGTTTTCAGAACTTTGAATGCAAATAAAACTTTCCGATAGGCTGCCAGAAACGGTCATGCCAATAATGTCATGCCAATATGAATGAAGTCAGAGTGTTTTTCTTTGTAGCAATCAGACATGCCACACAATGCATTTCTGTGGAGTTCTCTTTTTTGGGTGGTTGAAATCACTTGGCTTGCGGCCTCATGCCTCCCAGCTCACCTGAGGCATGCTGTAATCAGCCAGAACCGCGCTGCATGTCAAGTCTTACTGCTTCCAGAAAAATATACAAATTTCCCTGCCTTCTATTCCCTTTGTGAATTAGCCCCTTAGGGGTACAGTTTTAAGACAGCACGCAAGAAGCCAGTGCATAGATCCTCGTAATGCATAATGAGATTTGTGTGCCTGCCTACTTCCTCTGAAAATGAACTCTGTAACAGCAGAAGTGACTTGGTCTGGCACTCGCTTGGTCCTTCTGACCTCCCTCTTGTGATGGAAGATAAAGACTTCCCCCCTGCTTCTTTTACACAAAGCACAGAGGGTATGCTTGCATGATGTACTGTCTGGTCCTGCAGTAAACTGAGATGTTTCTTGAGGTTTTCAGAGTCCTCAGCTCCAGTTCTGAAGAAAGATAAGGTTGTTCAACACTTCACAGGATAAACATGGCTTAAGAGTACAGGTGCAATGAGACTGACTACATGTCCTGTGACAGACAGCTTGAATGTAAAGTTTTTGCTTCAAAATGACATCAGAAAGCACAGTAAGTCCAGGAGAGCTGTTTCTGACAAGTAGAAAATTCTCACCTGCAAAATAGGTGTCAAGAACTCATGCTCTTTTCAAGCCCTTATTTGTTACAGCACTATGTAGGATTTAGTAAAGTTTCCCAGTGAAAACTCCCCTATGCAGAACCATGTACATTTTTTATATATGGCCCGTTTGTGACATTTTTTTCAAGACCTAAAAAAAAAGTCAGAGAGAGAACATGCTATAAGCCACCACCAAAACCTCTGGGCTGCTCTGGATTGCAGGAAGGTTTCTTGCAGTCCACCAGGATCCATGCTGAGTGCCTGGGGAGTTGAAAACTGCTATTGTCTCGTGATAAGGGCTTTAGTTGAAGCAGGGTCTGCTGGAGGCACAGCATAGACTACAACTCGTGTTGAATCAGCACTGCCAAAATAGCCAGCATCAATTGCAGTGATGTCAAAAATCCTCCTGCCCTATAACCAAAGTAAAGAATGTGAGCTTAAGGGGGGGAAATATACATTGGAAAGTATAACTGAGATCAAGGTATTGTGTGCCTGTGCTGTGTACATAGAGTTTTGTTGCCACTGCTAAGAATCAGCAGACCATACCTGACAGCTTCTTATTTTTTGCCTTGGGCCTGGTCTACATGTAGTTTTGCACTAGTAAAACACAGCTAGTGCAGTAAGTGTTTAGCCCCTCTGTTACCATTTCGTCTTGTCTAATAATGCCCAGCTTTAATTTATGTGTATATGTCTGCTTGTGAGAGGCAGCAAGAACATACCAGCAGAGAAAAAAAAAAAAGAAAAAAGAAAAAAGAAAAAGAAAAAAGATTCCTGAGTACCTATCCAAGGAGTTAATGCAATGGGGCATATGTGAAGGGGTTAAAACGCTACACAGGTACAGATCCTGTGCAATTACAAATGTTATTGAAATAAAAACCAGAAACAGGAAGCCAAAAAACAGGTCCCTAAGGCAAGCATCTGTCTTAAATGATATCATTTGTCAAGTTTCCAGCATCTTGTGGTTGTGAACACAAAAAGAAGTTCTGTGTTATACTAAGGACATTACATACTCATTAGTTGGAATGTTCCTGAAGTACATAATACAGGATTTTCATTTAATAAGAAGCAGCTACTTGCCACTGCGTTGTACATAAAGTAAATTCTGGGCATGCTAATTGCCATTCAAGGATGTTCTACCTAATTTTTGACAGGTTTTTCTTCCCCTCCCCCTTGAGACTACACTGTAAAAATTGTGAGCAGAATGTGTTGCTATCGTTTAAAAATCTTTTAGAATATTTTCTTATTTCTGAAATATGGATTCCTGCAATGATGACTATTCAAGGCTTTAATGCAGATATTAAAGAAAAAAGAAAACCAAGTTACCTATAGGAATATTGCATCAAGAAAGAAAAACGCATATTTTTTTACATATATACATACACACACACACACGTATGTATCTCAGCACAGTAAGTCTTCAAGTCGCCCCCCCCTCCCATCTCAAAGAACAAACCTAACTGTAATTAATTGGTATAGTTCCTCTATCTGAACACTATTAGTGCATTAGCGTTAACTAATATATAAGCTTCCCCCTCGCTGCCCTGCCAATGACCTTAACTTCACATGGTAGGAAGGCCACTTGCTGTAGAATAGAAAAGTAATTTATCCACCATGATTGTTCAGCTCTGGCCCCTCTGTAAAACAGTGACTGACAATTGTGTGGTATTATGGATGGTACGTTTGTGGTGTGTACAATAGTGTGCAGAGCATCAAACTCACTTCCCTGAACACTGCAGGCAGGGTCTGAAAAGTGATCCTAGAAAGAAGAGACCACTTGCTGAGTGTTGGCCCACCATTTTCAAATTTTTTTTTCCCTCCAAATATCTGCCCCCCCCTTCTTTTTTGCCCTGAAGAGAGATCAATATTGTTTTCTCAGATTAAGTAAGAACAGTATGTAGTTTTCCATTCATAGAAGTACATTTAAAAAAAAAAAAAAAAAAAAAAAAAAAAAAAAAAAAAAAGGAAAAGGTTACTTTGCTTTTACTTTACCTGGGATTTCCCTGCTTTCCACATTTCAGGATTTAGCATATTCCCTCAAAACATAATAAATTTCTATTCTGTAGCTTAAGGGATCCATCAGTTAAAATGTTAGTCTTTCATCTTTATTACCCTCCCATTAAAATGAAAGAAACCGGGACACACTTCAGTTTAGAAGCAGCAATTTAGTTGGTAATGTCCTTACTACTCAAGTCTTTACAAAGAGAGAAAGTGCATTATTGCTTATATTTCACACATCTATCTGCATAAGAAGCAACTAAAGCTTTCAGACACATACGATGTTAAATTTAATAATATTCTTTGATTAGATTATTTTATTACAACATTTTTCCATTACCAGTCATTTCCCGTACACATTTACATTCATAAAACCTGCAGGTTTTTCTTTGTTTGTGTGCGTGTATATGTATTCATAAAGGAAGGAAAAGATTTTCTGGTTTGCTACAGCTGTTAGATTCGAAAAGAACAGATTAATAACTAGCCACCACGTAGGACTAGGTTTTCTTGTACACTGCACCAGTAACCCTTTGCTATAATGAGGACACAAAGAGGCTCACATGAGGCTGCTCCTCTTCTTCATAACTCAAAAGCGTCACAGTGGCAATAGCCTCTAGTGCTATTTGTCTTTAGTGCAGTTGTGACACTTCGGCATGATCCATAATTTGGCAGCTATTTACCGTGACATTTCCCTTCAGTGCAGCCATAACATTCAGTGAAGCCATTATTTGGTTCCATTTACCATATAAATTGTATTGTCGTGCATGCATGCTAGCAGCTACATTAGGTACCTGAAAATGAGTAAATCTTGTAAAATAGATACTAACAGCTATTCAGCAGAGAAATTTCTTTACTCCTCAGACAGAAGTAGGAATATATATAATATCTGCAAACACTACTGCAAACTTTTCCTTGAGAGACTGTAATTATTTGTATTTACATGACAGCAGTTATTCATATCCACTTATTAAATATATACATACACACACATATATGCAAATGTACAAATATGTAGGAAACTAGTGCTTGGTAGAAATCTAACTTAATTCAAAAAGGTATTAGGAGATTCCAGCATAGCAATTAGTAGGAAGCATATCTGTAAAATGTGCTGAGGGTTGCAGGCCAGGAGAGAGAGAGTACGTGTGTGTCCATGTGCGCGTGCGTATGCACACATGTGACAGACTCAGGAAAAAAGCCAGCTCTTCATCTAGTTCTTTGTTGTTTTTCCATGGAAGCATATGTGTGTAGGAAAGGGAAATTCTGTTATTAGCCTCAGCAAACAATGCCAGATTCCTCTGTAGCAAATTCATTTAGAAAGGTAAAATTAGGATGTAGTGCTAGCAACCACATCTCAATGAGCTGCTATTATTAATAGTATTATTATTTAAATCCCTGCTCTCTACATATAGTATACTTAGTACTTCCCAGGCAAATGTATTATTATTTTTAATCATTTAAGTCCCCACTGTGCACACAGCTTTTAATACACCTTTTTTGCAAGCATATTAAGTGTATTGTTATTAATCCCTTGCTGTGACTCTACAGTATTTCTTTTCCTTGTATGTTCAATGTCCTATCATCATTTAAACCTCTCAGTGTGTGCATGCCATATACATTTTCCTATCCATCTAATATTTAAACATTATTTAAATCCATAACAGCTTACTTATTCAAAGTCAGCCCTGCTCCCATAACTGTAAGTTTGCAGAATATACTTTTAAATAATGTTGGCTTTTTTTTTTCCCCCTGCAAAATTATTACAAATCTCAGCAGAAAAGCCTTATCTGCACATTTCAGAAATACTTTTCACCCTCTCCCCATCAATAATGCTCTCTTACAGCAATCTAAATGATAAAAATTGTATCTTTAAAAACAAAAATTACTTCTTCATTCTGGATTCATTCATGGAAGAGCAATCATGTGTATCTTCAGTTACCCCTTTAGTTTAACATAGGCATCTGATGAAAAGGACAAGCCCAATGGCCATAGCCCAGCCCAAACACCAAAAGGGCTACACAATTAGTGCACTAGCTATAAAAGTTCTCCATATAACAAATTTAAACTTTTTATTAACATGTAATCAGTGTGAAAGTGCTAAATAATAAGGCTGAAACCAAAATTAAAATCCACAAAATGTCGTATCTGAATATATACATGTGAACCTTCCAAACGTTCTTCTTTTCCCTTATTTTAATCAGTGGAAGAGCCTGGGGCAGCTGCATTACTCAACATTATATATGAAATAACATATTAAAAAGAAAGTAGAATCTTGTGTGTCCAAACAGAATCTTGTTACAAGAATAACTTTTTATGACAAAAACATTTGGAATTCACTGCCTTGGAAACATCTAAACCCATTGGACTGACAGTGATCCACACCTCCGAAAATTGGGCCTCTTGGATGGGTTTCAGCACTTGTCTGCATGAACCTAATTTGAAAAATTGTTATCCAAGCAACTCCTCTGTGCGCATCACAGATGTAACCAATTGTATTAGTTTTAGTTTTATTTTGCCCTAGTACATCCTAAACATCACCTTTTTTTTTTTTTTTTTAAGATGCATTTATTGACCACAGGTACCACCTTTTCTCTGAACAAGAAAACAAACCATGTGCCTAGGAATAAGACGGTGAGAGCTTTGTATGCTCTGATCTTGTATGGTACTTGAGTCTTTGCATCTTTCTAGCATCCAGCTGGAAGGCCAACATACCTTTTGAATAATGCAAAACACACAAACCACCACAGTATTTGCAATATTAGGGGGGAAAAAGTAAGTATGTTTCTACCAGCAGATCCTGGTAAAAACAAAAATCATAGTGGTTTGACGCTCAGCTTGAGTAAAAGAGAAATGGTAAAAAAGACTCAAGCCATCCCCAAAATCCTCCAAGGTGAGACTAAACCCAGTAGTCAGACATGGCCCCAAAAAGGGACAGTTCTTTGTTGCACACAATTCTATAGGATGCTAATGACATATGCACTAAAAAATTACAATAAGAATGCATTAAATCAAAGTTAAAAATACTTTTTCTACTGTCTGTACTACTGAGTAAACCAGAAGTTTTTCCTACATGTTACTTTAAAAAATGTCACGTACAGTCAGTCCTGAATAATACCCAAAAACTAAGTTTACCCTGGATTTTTTCCTTCAACCCCTAGACATTATCAGTCTATCATTACGTTTATTATTAGGTGTATGATCTTATGAAATTTCCATCTCTCCAACTGCATACAAATGTATATAATTTCAAAAGATGTGGCAAAATCAGCCTTTAAGATCTTAGACAGTTGCTATGGAAAAAAAAGATGTAGAGCAAGCACAGTTTAAAGTATTTTATTGTTCTGGAAAATATTACACTTCTAGCTAGAATTCCTAATCTATGTCACATTAATAACATCTATTAAATGAGGAAGAATTTTCAAAACTTTACTAAACCTTTCAACTGCACCCACTAGATAGTCTATGGCTGAGCATCAGTTCGTGTGTGAGGAACTGTGACTGTAGATTTAAAATGGTCTTGCTGTTTGTAAACGGGCTTCTGTAGAAGCAATATTTGGTAAAAGTAGGAGCAGCAGCCCAGTTATGGGCAGTTACATCAAGAATCATCAGCCAAAGAATTCTACAACACAGAGATTATCTACAAAGGAGCTAGTCAGCAAGAACTGGATCAATATGAATAAATGCCACAAATATTTGAATAGTTTTTTTAAACTTTATTAAATCTTCAAAAAATATACAAGACCTGAACATACAAGAACATGGCTTAACCCCCCCACTCCCAGTAATCTTGTAATAATGACTAAAGGGGAGACCGGACAGTAAACATTAACAATAGCAAATGAAAAAGCAAGAAAATGAGATTATGTTGCAACTTGTAGTTAAACATTTAAAAGAAAATTGCACAGTTGTTTATAGTTACGAAAGACATAATTAAAAAAAGTCAAGTTGCTTTTCTTAGTATTACTGACATGTCAGAATTGGAGGATAAATTTCCCTGTGTAACCACTCAAGGCATATTAGTATGATCCATGATGCAACTGAATTATGATTATCGTGTTTGTGAAAAAAAAAATTAGGAGCATATTTTTTTCCAGAAACTTCAAGAGATTAGTAGAGCAAACAAAAGATAGAACCCTTTACTTAGTCTTGTTCTAACAATTTTAATCAGGGAATCAAAATTGCTGAATTTTTTTTTCTGGGATGAACTATATATAAAATCTTATCAAACCAGTCTGACAGACTAAATCTGCCTCTGCATTGAGACTTACTCTGTCAAGAACAATGTTCTTGTCTCACACTAGCCTAGGTGAAAGAATAAAACACAGGCCCACTAAGTCCGTGCTACAGCCACTGATTTAAGCACTTTTAAGAAAAAAAAAAACACAAAACTTTTTATTAACACCTTAATGGTGTTTTTTAATATAATATCCATTACTAAGCTTAAAAAAATAAATTGTTTCTAGTAATTCTGCGGCATAAAGTGCCCATTTTCTCTCTTCTGATTTATATCATTGTTCTGTTTTTACAGCTTACTGTTGACAGAGTGAGGTAATTCAACTACAATTTTTCCAATGTTTTTTCCCATGTACATGTAATCTACAGCACGGAATACAGACTCCAAGCCAGTGAACTTGCCCTCTGGAGACATGTCTCCAAAGTCCACCTCACAAACCAGGTCTCCTTTTTCATACATCTTGAGCAAGTGCTTCAGAGCCATTTTGTACTCGGAAAGGTAATGGTTCAAGAAGAAACCCCGAATGCTGGCAGACTTCTTCAATAGTTTTGCTGGCAATAACTCTGCTTTAATGGGCTGGAGGCCAGTAGGGTTCTGGTAGCCAGCGATAAACCCAATAACTATCAGGTGCCCTTTGGTAGCCAAGGAGTTAAGAGCCAAATCAAACATCTTTCCCCCAACAGATTCGTACACCACATCCACACCTTCAGGGTAGTCCTTCCTAAGAACAGATTCAACATTTTCAGTTTTATAGTTGATTGTACGGTCACAGCCAATGGATTTCAGAAAACCACCCTTTTCATCACTGGAGCAGGTTCCAATTACATGGCATTTTGCCTTCTTTGCAAGCTGCACAGCGAACTGGCCTGTTCCTCCGGCTGCTGCTGTCACCAGAACCTTCTTGCCTTCAGACAGCTCTCCCAGCTCTTTCAAACTGATGTATGCAGTAGCGCCACTTACCATTAAAGTAAGAAACTCGGGTTTCACAGAGGGTAGAGGAACTGCTTGTTTGGCAGGCACAACTGTGTATTCAGCAAAGGAACCTGCTTTCACGTAGGCCACAGCTTGACCCACTGTATATTCAGCACTAGCACTGAGTCCTAACGCTACCACGTCACCAACACCTTCAAAACCTATATCGAATGGGGGCTTAACCGATGCGTCATATCGACCAGCTGAGTAGTTTATGTCAGATGCATTAATGCCGACAAATCTAGAAGAAAACAAAAATGTATTAACGAGATTCATTCCTTAGCAAGTCTTTGTCATATGAGAAACCTTCAATTTGAAGTCATGGGATATGTACGAGACTTTCTCTGATTATTGGTGCATTTGAATAACGAGTATACTCCAGAGACTACTTCCATCAGACTTTTGTAGTTTACATTCTGTCACTATAGAATTAAAGATAAATTTGCTAAAAGAAAAAAACAAAACCCAAAAAAAACCACCCCAACTTATGTTTTCCTCAGGTCCATTTGACCAAACTAAAAATAATTCTGTAAAAGATTAAAGGATGAAAATTAATTGACCACTTTATACAAGATGTGAAAACACTGAAGAATAAAACGTGTAAAGCAGTAAATATGCGGATTCTGGCAACAAATTTACATTTTTGAATATAATAGTACTGTTAATGACTAACGATCATATTAACTATCGATGTCATTTGCAAGGTCATGTTACTGTAGGCAAGTACTTTTTAATTGATGGAGTCACTACAGCAAATTTGCCTTTTGATGTAGCTAATGTCAACGTTAAAATATTTTTCTTTATATAAATTACTTGCAACACATCAAAACAACCTTGCACAGAAGGACTAAAATTGTAAGACTGAGTATCAAGTCCTGCTGACCTCTAACAGGTGAAAATGGATGCTAATTCTTTTAGAAAAAGGTAGAGACACTCTCACAACTTGATCAAGCGCTAGGAGATAATGCCTAAAAGAAAGCTATGATCTAGCTTGAACATAAACAACGTTTTAGTAACTTAAAAAAAAAAACCAAAACCAAAACCCAAACATAACAGTATCTCTATGCAGGAAAAAGAAGAGAGAGTGGGGGAGATTCTGTTAACTAGAAAATGTGAAAGAGACACGTACAACAGGAAACACAAGGACTTCTACATGTGGAAGTGACAACCTGGAGAGTGTACCTGATACCATGCAAAGGCTGCAGAAGTATGCAAACAGAGCGCTTTTAATTGTGGCAGTTAGCAATAGGCTCAAATCAGATGTGTGTGTAATTCTAAACTGCTTGCACAAAGAGCAAGGAGAACTAAAACTGCTTTGCTCGTTTGGATTTTCTTCATTCTTTATAGCATGGGGACTCTGAAACTTTCACCAACGTAATGCATTACATATAAAAAGACATGTACGCATAAACATAACCATGCATAAAACAGGTGAAAGTGACTGTTGCTCTTATAAATTCTGCCTTTGACTCACTGCTCGGCCGCGACAAAAAATGCCTGCGTCTTGTTCGGAGATACAAAAACTCCTCTATTGTCCGGCTTTAAGGTAACTCCCATAGAGTCCTGCTAAAAGATGCATTAAAAACTGGTAACGGAACAGCAGTCTCCGAGGCAAACTGAGTCCCTCGGCCGCCAGGCAGAAGGGCTCGGAGCACCGAGGCGAGACGTGCTGGCGCCGCACTAGCCTCCCCCCGCGTTTACACCCCAACTTCTGCGGAAGGGAGCTGAGGGTGAGGAGAGGCCGGCGGGGAGCTGTGCTCTCCCCCTCCTCGGGTCTCCTCCCGTCCCCCATCCGGGGAGCTCATTCTCGGTAGCTGTCGGGGCTCTCGGTAGCTGTCAGGCCAGCCCCCGGGCTCTCACGCTGCCCCCGCAGCAGGCAGGTCCCCGCTCCCCGCAGGGCTGAGCCTCACTCCGCACGTCTGCTTCCGCACGGTGCGGAGCAGCTGTGCCCTCGGCCTTCTGGAAAAGGGGAAGGAGGGGGACAAACCAGCGGTAACAGTACCAAGCCCCCGTCTCCCTTCCTCTTCTCGGCGCTGCACTGCAGCGGGGAAAGCACGAAGGGGCAGGGAAATGACCCACCGAGGACCCAAACTTTGCGTGGGCCGCCCGCCCGCCCGCCGAGCAGGACTCCCACGGCCCCGTTGCTTTTGTTCTGGAGCCGAGGGAGGATGCAAACCCTTCCCTGCCCGGGATGCTGTACCGCAACTTGTGGCTGAGGGGGCCGCGGAGGGTAAGTTGCTGCTGCCCGACCGCCCCATGCCCCACCGCGCCGCGCGGCGGGGCGTGAGGCGGCCAAGCAGAAGATGCGGAACCCACGGGGCACCGCGGGCGCGGCCTTGACTGCGCGCAGGCGGAGCTGTGCCGTGGG